CATATTCGCATATCTTTCAATACATATTCAATACATTCTTTGTAATAGTTATTATATTATTTTGGAATGTTGACAGTCTTCTCAAATATTATAATACTTTATATTTGTAATACCAATGATTCTTCATCACCTTCAAATTTTAAATGTTATCCTTCATATAAGTTTCAGTGGTATACTTATAATTACGATTGAATATTCACTGATTATCGGTGAATAGTGATGGATTAATTTTTAGAGAATTTAACAACACTGCCAGCTTTGCAGGCAATTTGCTATTAGTTTATTGCTTAAGGCTAGATTTTCGTACAGGCACTAGCGCTCGAACGCGGTACTTTGGTGGATACTAGCTGTTTGGAGAAAAATTGTCATTTTCCACTAACGAAAATCCTACGTCCGAACATTGGCGCCCGTATGAAGATTCAACCTTAAAATATGAACCATGTATCGCTGCAACTGTGGCAACAAATGAGGATGCACATTCCTATAGTTTCGTCGACATCTCATATAATGCCTTGCTTTAAGAAGTAGTCTGTGGCATAGTAAAATATTTGCAGTTAAAGGAACTGTATTTATGGTATCATAACCATATAACCAAAATTTGTTCATATTACTGTTACTACCCAAGCAGGTCCGCTCAACGCATATTTTCAGGCTGACTTTTGCCTTGACTTACCGTTATTTTATAAATTTCGACGGAAAAAATACGCTAACCTAGACTTTTTTTCAATTTTCATAAATTCTCTGGAAAATCCACGGAAAGTTGATTGGATTTTTGGATAGAGTCAATGACTAATCAACGCAAACTATATCCCCCAAAAAACACTTACGTGTAAAAAACTACGCCAAGTACAGGAGTGCTCTGTATGCCTCTAATGAAAAGTATTGATATCAGATTATTGAGGCCAAGTACATAAGTCACTACATATTTGCCTATTATATGATCTAGCACTGGCCCTTCATTTTAGTTGTATTTTAAAAATTTCCTATAACGTTTTCACAACTCTTTTACATTACTACTGCTTCCTGTAGTTGATAATGATTTAATGGTTATTTAATAATTAATAAAACTTTAGCTGATTCCTTGGCTGCATTTCATTTGGAAAAATTTCCTATAACGTTTTCACTACTCTTTTACATTACTGCTGCTTCCCGTAGTTGATTATGATTTAATGGTAATTTAATAATTTAATAAAACTTTAGCTGATTCCTTGGCTGCATTTCATTTGGACGCTGTAAGCGCTTGTAAGCGTTGCTTATTCTGTTCCTTTTGGCGATGTGATTCCTCACGAACGCCGTCATGACGCCATTGATGGCGTCATAACTCGTGATCTTAAGCGCTTATAAACGCTTCTTTCGTCGAGGTAGTGCAGCGAAAAATTAATAAAACTTTAGGTGATTTCTTATCGAGTACTACTTGGCGGGTCCGTGCCAGGAATTCTAAAGTACTTACTTTGAACGTACTAATAGTATCCTAAAACTATATGTTTGTTATTAAGCTTTTACCGTGATTATTTTTGACGAGTTATTGTTAATAAGCTCTATATAGAAATTTGACATTGGTTTTGAGTTTGATGACTGGCATAATGAACCCAAATTTATGTCAAAACATGCACGGACCCGCCAAGTAGTACTCGATAAGGAATCACCTACAATTTTATTAATTATTAAATGACCATTAAATCATAATCAACTGCGACAAGCAGCAGAATGTAAAAGAGTAGTGAAAACGATGTAAGAATTTTTGAAAATACAATTAAAATGATGGGCCAGTGCTAGATCATATAATAGGCAAACATTCAGTGACTTATGTACTTGGCCTCAATAATCTGATATCAATACTTTTCATTAGAGGCATACAGAGCACTCCTGTACTTGGCGTAGTTTTTTACATGTAAGTGTTTTTTGGAGGATTGTAGAGAGTCGCGCTCGTTCACTCCACCAGACTGTACTCATTTAATAGAACGAATAAATCGCATTTGTCAAAATTACATCCTATCGTGTTATTAATTTCAGAGAAACTGGCTGACTCCTATAAGCCCTCGCCCGCCCCGCGTTACCCTCTATCACCGTCGGCTAGAAGCTAACGGGAACGGCCATTCGAAAGGACTCCCATTGTTGAGGTGCTGCGAATTAAAAATTTAAAGGCTCGAGGAATCAGCTGCTACTGTGAGACACGTGATGCCCAGGGTTTAGGGAAGCATCACGTTGGGGCCATTCATGTGACAGGATGAAATGTTTGGCATAGGTCCGAGAAGGGCATACGTTACAAATGCGCATTTAATGAATTTAACTATTGAACATCGCTTATACTTTTTATACATTTGATTAGTTCTCCATATACACTAGATGTATAATAATGTCAATGTATAATGTATGTATAATGTCAATTTTAGGCTTGGCTGAAGACGAATCGAAGAAAGGGACAAAGCGATTTGGAAAGATGCCTAAGCTAGACGGTCAAATAGTGCAGTTATTTTTAAGAGTGGAAATCAATCGAGGAATGTCGTGCTGTATAGTTTTGTTAGAATAAATGCTATAATTTGTGACAACGTGTCGAAAAACTTCAATCGGGTAAAAACAAAAAAAGTGATATCTTCCACTTGCAATTTTTGAAAAAAAATGATTATACCTAATTGCTTACAGTTAATGATTGGCTACGATTTCTATACTCTCGTACTACGGCTACTGATTAGAAAGAGACAGAGCTTGGCCGCCATCAGTCGTCATCTTTTTTTATCGGCCGACCATTTTTTCTACACTTGTCCGTAGCCATACTATATGTCGATGGTTGTAATGATATTCTATTAGCGATATGTGGACGAGCTGGCGCATCCCCTCATCGGAGGAGTCAGCCATAAGGAAAGAAAGGAAGGATATGTGGATGAGCGTATATCTACGTCATTGTACGGTTATCATTTAGATGCTTCGATAACTTTCTGTATATCAAGATGTCTACATGTACTTGGCTAATTTTTGCTTAAAATATATTTACTGCTTTAATAAAAAAAGATCTTACCTGATGACAAATTCATTTACTATCTGCATAATGCCAAGAATGGTGTATTCCCACAGAAAAGTACGTACAATTGCTTTTAGCAGACTCGGCTTTTTACCACATTTTTTCGAATTTTCTAATTCAATCTTCCATCGTCTAAAATCATATTGCAAGTTAAATTAAATATACTGCTGTTTCAAAATTTACTAAGTAAAAAGTGTTAAAATTAGAGACATAGTAGCATTCTTCTTTTACCTTAAATGTAAGGTCATTTCAAAATACACTAACTTATTTTTCTAATTTATCATTAAGTAAATATTAATTATGGCTTAATGTAATTCAAATATCTAACTAGCATAATATATGCAATGCAACGTTCTGTGCAAAAAAGTAAAAGAAGAGTGTGCATACTTCCTATGTGCATGGAGACTATAATATTTCATTAAGTATTATGTTATTGAACGAGAAGCTTTGCTTACTTTTCCAATCTATCACCTAGCACTGCAGATTCATCAGTTTTTAAAGGATTATATAAATCCTCAATGCCTAATATCTTACTATAACCTTTTTTAAATAACTTTATTGTCCACCTAGAACATAAATAATGCAAAGTAAAAGACTATTACTTTTGAAATAAAATTATTAGGAGAAATCATACTTTCTTAATATATCTAGCAATATTTCTCATAACATTGATCATAATCTATTATATATTTAATACATAAATTTATAAAACATGCACAAATTATTATATTTTAATAAATAGCCATAAAATATGTATGATATTTAAATAGTTTAATATAATTTGAGTATGAAATACTACAACACTACCATATCAGATTTCATAAGTTCAGCACATGTAAGGTTTAATCACATTACACTTAATGCAGTCAACAATATCTGCTAAACTTTACGCATTGATGGAGAAGAATTTATACAAAGCTCGAATGCTGAATAAAAAAATTGAATTATTGAATACATACATAGCTTTAATTGATATATTTCAAAATTTACTCTATGTGGCCATCAAATTAATCCATTTATGGTCTTATTCATTATATATAAATGAAGACAATGGGTACAAATGGGACAAGCCTGCTATAATCAGCAGAAATTAATTTTTAAATAACTAAGTATTAAAAAATGTAATAAAAAATTTCCTTTAGTTATGCTTTAACTAACACTTGCATAATTAATTGAAAAATTTAATAGATTAATAGTGCTAGAAATGAGTAAATGCTTCGACAACTATAGCTCAAAATGATACAGTGGCCACAAATGGTAGTTACATCTACCCTGGTACAAATTATGTATTTGAAGTACAATATAACCATCAACTCCAGCTATATTGCTAAATGTGCTACAGGAATAATTAATTCTTATATTTAATAACTCACCACCATAACAAGACGGAGATTGTTGTTGCATTTTCCCTGGGATTTGGGTTGACCCTTATTTTACTTGCATCCATCTCTAATTCGAACTACTTTTCATTGATGATATCTGCTGAATTATTAAATGTTTTTCACTTATCGATGATATAAGTACTATGAAACTTTATATCACAACACAATATTTTGCATTACCACTTTTTATTATATGATTGATAACATGAAACACTTCTTTAATTGTTCTATGGACATTTACTTATGTAAAAACTCTTTTTTGTTTAAAATTGTTTTACTAATAATTACAAAAAACTTTAATTAAAATACAAGAAAGTATAACTGTACATTGCAGATATATCACTATCATTAGTAGAATACTCATGTATACTTTGGATCACTTTAAATCAAGGTTTAAAATTTAATTGTAGAGAAGACATTTTGAATGCAATACCTATATTAAATTGAAAATTGCTGGGAACAAAATTACAGAAGTATTACTTATCACTATTAGCTCTTCACTGACTTCACTTTACAACATTCTCTTATAAATCTTGTTGTGAAATGATAGTAGCAGTACTGATTCTTGCATTTATAACAAGGAAACGTCATATCTTTTGGACTTCATGCTATTAGAGCTATTCACTTATCTCTCCTCTTATTTAGACTTCTACTGCTGTGTCATTGAGCAAACAATGAACTACAGTATCTTCATTACAATACAAAATGTAATTATATAAAAATGTATCAGAAGTTAGAAGACTTCATAAACTGCTAGTAGTAGTCCATTTTCAATCAAGAAATCCAAGAATTTACAAAACACAAGTACTACTTACAATGTATATGTAATTATATATAATACACAATACATCTTACTTTATACATACTTTTCCTTTTTGAATTTTGATACAGTAAGATTCAAAACAATTATAACATAGATATAGATATTTGCATTCAATATATTTTTCTATACACTTCAAAACTTACAAGTTTTTTGCAATTATACTTTTAATTATTAATTAGTTCATAATTGAAATAACATTACATAAATGTTGATCTAATAGATGAAACTATACGATGTAAGGTTAGTATTACATTGAATGTAACTTCTGTGCAATATATTATGTATGCAATAATAACTCCAAATATGTTAAGCTGTTTAATTATATATTCTCGTTAGTTAATGTGAAACATATGCATATTTTTAATATTATATCATTGCACCATCCCTTTATATATAATTAGAATTCAAAAGCACTATTACACGATACCTATAAAATCATATTTAATTTCAGTAATTTATTTAACATGTTACATACAATTAATGGTTCTAATTGACAGTGACTATGCACATATATGCACATATATAAGTATATATTATATATACTTATATAACTATAGTACAAATATCATTAATATACAAAAAAAAAGTATATTTTCAATAAAGCATCTGATTTTTTAAATCCAGTTAAAGTTACTTTATATTGACAAAAATATTTCGACATGTATTATAAAAGGATGGTTTAATAATTAATTGGTGTCCTTCGAATAGTTTATCATTTCACATGCATAATACTATAGTCAGTTTGATTATTACATGACTAATGATTGGTGAAGATAACTGCTGATAGACCATGTGACACAAATGTCTAACATTTACATCTAACATATTGCTATAATAATCGTATATTATAAAAGTAAAGTCTACCAAAAAAGTTATTGTAATATTGTAGCTAAATTAGGTTAAGTCGAGTTGAATGCAATCAAACTTCTTATTCCCGTTGGTTTTATATCCCCTAAGGGATCACTAAGGAATCAAGTGATATTAAATAACATTAAAGGCTTTTTTTTTTCTTACGTTCCAAAATTCACTGACTATACTTATACGGCGGTCTTATTCTAGTTTAATTATTACTGATCTAAAGGAATCAAACAATCATAAATTTTTCTTACAAGTAAAAATATGTTTTTGTCAATTCCATTAGATCAGTACTAACTGGAATAAATCTTTTGTCTAAACATCCCTCGTTGTATCCTTGTTTATGATACGTTCCGAACATTGGTTCCGTGGTGCACTGACAGTACTGCGAGCATGAATGTGTCTCATTCAATTGTATCCACATAAACAAGGACACGGCGATACACGTAGTACTGGCCATGATACAAATAGACGAGGTATAGCCGGTAGCGATCGTATTTTGGTCAAGCTCGCGCAGGGACCAATGACATCACGTTTAAAAAAAAAATTACTTTTACTTTGAGGGGATTTATTTACGTTTCGTCTCGTAAAGAGATGGCCCCTCAAAATGGTATTGATAGTTGCGGCGTGACAACGTAGCATCGTAAAGTCAGCCAATCAGAAAAGAGGATCCAATGACGTCATTGTCCAAATGCCCAGAACTCTTAGGGCCGGTTCCACAAACACGATTTATCGTTTAAACTACTTTTATCTTCAAAATACAAATTTCTGATTGGCTCATAGTGGAGATAAACCGAGTTTAAACAATAAACCGTGTTTGTGGAAACGGCCCTTAATAGCTATACATTAAGTGCGGCG